GGTGCAGCGCCCCCTGTTGTTACTCGCTGAGATGATGGCTGGGCTCCCGGATCTTCTCGGGGGTTGACCTCTCTTCTCAGCAGCCAGAGAGATCTTTTAAAACCTGTCAGACTGTGTCTTTTCATTGTTTAAGACCCGCCAAGGGGCTGGTGATGTAGTTCAGCTGGTAGAGCGCTAGCGTGGCCTTCCAGTCCAGAATAAAGCTATGCGTGGTAGTGAAAATGTGTGACCCCGGCGCTCAGGAGGTGGAGGCAGGTGAATTAGAAATGCAAGGTCACCCTTGGCGATTGAGAGAGTTCAAGGACAGTCCAGGCTACACTGCGTACAACCCTGATCTGGAAAACAACACAAACCCTCCAAGGGTTTGTTATGCTGACATAAAGCCCAAAGGTCCTACAAGCCCCCTCGGGTCTTACCTAGTGCCCTTCACACCTCTCCAACCTTGGCAGCAAGATGTTCACGCCTCATTCTGGTCTCTGCTCAAACGTCAAGGTATGCACAAGGCCTTCCCTTCTCTCCACACCTTTTCACCGCTGACGCCTGGTAACCCTTCTCCACAGGCTCTCTAGTGTCCGTGTGGTGTCCTGCGCCTTGTAAGTACGCAGTGTTTATTTTGTTCGAGGCAAGGTCTCACTATAGAGACAAGGCTAGCCTGAACCTTGATGTGTTGGTCAGGCTGTTGACTGCTTCGGCCTCCGCGAGCTCACAGCCAGAGCTACACATGGAAGCCCTGTCTCCAGACCCCCGTGGTTGGGCTATGACTTGACAGACCAGCACTTTTCTACATGCCCAAGTTCTGGGGCTCAGTCCTCTGCGCTGCCAAGTGTTGGCTGGCAGGGCATACTTGGGCTTTCTTATAAAGTATTTTGGATATTTAGCCTGTAATCCGCTCAGGAAGCAGAGACAGGAAGATGGAGAGTTCAAAGCCAGCCTGGGAGAGTGTTGCAGGTGGCTATGAGACCCTGTCTTAAAAACAAACAAACCAGCAAGCCAACTGTCGTCCTAACGGCGTGTGGAGTGCTAATTTCCGGGGCCGTGTTTTAAAATTAGCTCCTTACAGACGGATTACCTAGGTCTTCGATACTTTAAACAATCGCCGGCCCCGAACCACGTCAGCACTCATCCTTCTGTTGTGGCCTTAGGACAGATCCTTGCCTTCTGTGTGCGGGTGTTACACCAAGAAACATGCTCATCTAAGATCTGGTCATGGTCTCAAGTCGCTCTTCACACCCGCGGACGGACCCTCCGCTCTGCTTCATCAGACCCAACACGAGTGGGCTTGGACTTTTGGCTCTTGGTTCATAGGGATGAGTATCGGTTTCTTCATTCAACTGGTCTTTCTCAAGATGCGGCAGAGTGAAGGCGCATCTTTTCTGGGGTCATAAGAGCCAAGATCCGGCAGGGGACAAGCCTGGGCTCAGACAGCTGGCTGCCAGCCCCTCACCTCCCCCAATACCCCCCTTTCCTTCTGAGTTTTCCTTTCTCGCCCACAAGTTTCAGATTCCTGGAACCGCTCTCGGTGACCTCACGCCCGTGACTTCACATCCGGAACCTTCTGGGAATTCTCAGCCGCACTTTTTCGTAAGAAATCTAGCAGGGGGAGGAGGAGGTTGGGCGGGGCGGAGCTTCCGAGACTGGGCCGCGCGCTCCCCAGTGCCCGCCCATGCAGCCTCTCCAAGCAGCCTGGAGACCCGGGTGGAGCCTAGCTAGGGGTCTAAGCCTGCTCTTTGGTCGTGGGTGGGAGAGGGCACCGAGAGGGAAAAAAAGAGCAAGGTGGATTTGGAGGGGTTCACAGTACAGAGGGGCAGGGCTGCAGGAAGTTGGGGCTGGGGCCAAAGCTGGACCTTTCTGATGGCTTTGAAGTCCTCAGAGGGGACCTCAGGTCATGGAAAACAGGGGATGTGCGGTCCAACCCCAGCAAAGACAGGACCTCAGGCACTCCTGCCTTCACGGGGGCCTCTCTCTTTCTCTATGTACCTTATGACTGGGAAACTAAAGATGAATATGTTAATGCTATATATTAAAACATCTTTACAGGCTAGGGGACTGTAGCCTGCTTTGTCTAGCGTCCACAGAGCCCTGGGTTTGTTCCCCACCACCCTATAAGCCAGTATAAGCCAGTGTGGCGGCCCATGCCTGTAAGCCCAACGCTCCGGAGTGGGGGTGAGGGGGGGGGGCTTGCAGGAGGATCAGAAGTTCAGGGTGACCTTCGTCGACCCAGCAAATTTGGAGCCTGCCTGGGCTGCATGTGACTGCGTCTCAGAAATGAATGTGTTCTTTACTGGGCATGGTGGTTCATGCCTCAAGGACCTCTGCAAGTTCAAAGCCAGTGTGTTCTATGAAATGTGCTCTATTTTAGCCAGAGCTACCCAGCAAGACCTTGCCCCAGGCGAACAAAAGACAGAAATGAAAAAGAAAGAAAGAGAAAGATTTTATCTAAAAACTCACACGCTCCCCTTGCTCTCCGTCAGATTTTTTGTTTTGTTTTGTTTTTCACTTTTCAAGACAGGGTTTCTCTGACTGTCCTGGAACTGTCTGGATACCAGGCTGGCCTCCAACTCAGAGATCCACCTGCCTATGCTGAGGAGGCATGCACCTCCACTGCTTGGCTGTCTTTCAGATTGTAAAAGAAGGTACATTTCCAAGGGTCTCTAAAAGTATGTGAGGCCTTAAACAGGATGAGGACTGAAAGGGTGAGCTGGCCCTGGCCCTGACCCAGGCCAGAAGAGTGTCACAGCTGGGAGGGAGCAACAAAGGTCCTCAAAGGGATGGTGGCTTGGGTGACAAGCGGCAGCTGCCAGGAAGAGTCTGAACCACCCACAGACGGGGGAATTTGGAGGTGAGGGTGGAGAGGAGAGAGAGCAGCAGGGTGGAAACGGTGATGGTCTGGCAACCCTGCTGGAGGTAGGAAGGAGGCTGTCACCGAAGCACAGGCCCTGAGATGAGGGGTGAGGGGACAGAGATTTGGGAGTGGCTGCTGGGAGCCTGGGCTTGGGGGGGTGCTGCTGCTGCTGCTGCCATCTCACAGGGAAGAGGGGAAGAACAGAGATGCTGTAGGGACTCCGGGATCTGGGAAGGATGGAAGGGGATGTCCTTCAGAATAAGCAGGCATGCAGGACAGACAGGCAGGACAGACATCCATTGACCTGTAAGCTCATGTTAGCTTGAGGAACTTCACGGGTTTGTGTTCTTTCAGGGCCATTCACGGAGCCAGTCAGCCTGGGTCCTGGCAGCCCGGACAAGTTTGACTCTGCCATCCTCAATAGTCCAATTAAGCAGACAAAGCAACTCTGAAAGGCAAAAAAGCATTATTCAGTGTAGCTGCGTGGAGGCTAAGAACAAAGAAATCCATTGAACCCCTTAAGTCTGTCTTCCAGGGTCCTTAATTTAAATTTAAATAAGAGGCAGGAGCGATGCAGCACCAAGCAGTCCAGGTCCAGGTGTGGTTCTCTGCTCCGGGTCCTCCTGCAGGCTGCTCTGACAAGATGGCAGCGTGTGAAATCTCTTCCCTTCCTGCGGGCATCAACCTTGTCTTTCTCCATCTGGGGAAATTTTATTTTCTTGGGGTCCATTTTTTTTCCCCGCTCTGGGGGTGGGGGTGGGGAACAATGTTTCTCTGTTTGGTCCTGTCTGTCTTGGAACTTGGTCTGCAGTTCAGGGTGGTTTTGAACTCAAGATCCACCTGCCTCCGCTTCCATTAATGTTAATGGCAAGGTTTAGTCCGGCTAATACTACTATAAGGGTTCTTACTTCAATAGACTGATAGCCAAAGGACGGGGGTGTGTGTGTGTGCACAGGTTCTCTTTAGACTATCTTAAGATAATAATAAGAATAACAATAACAACAATAATGATATTTTCATCCTTGCCAGTAAGGTACAGGCCTAGCTGTGACCCAGGTCCCCTTGTCTTTATGGGCCCCACCTTCTCCCTATTGCCTGCTGTGGCTTGCTAAAGCCTCATTCCCAAGCACCCATCTTCCGGTCTCGGAGGCCCGCCTGTCAAACCACCTCACTTGGGCACTTCAAGACTGCGGAATGAGAAAAGGCAGATTGGATTTTCAGCACCCTTTATAGGAGAGAACTGTCAGAGCCTTCTGCGGCCATGCATTTCTCAGGCCAGCTGCATCTGTCCCCCTAGACAAAACAAAAAGGTGACATCGTCTCTGACCTCCACGGATGCAGGGCAGGAACGTGCCCCGTCAGCACAGACAGATGAATGAATACATGTAAGACTGCCACCTTGGATACAAATACCAGGGGTGCCAGCATGAGTTCAGCGGGCATTAGAATCACTGTGAGAACTAGCTTCTGGTGTCCCTGTGCTGAGACACACACCATTTGAGTGGAAGGGGATCAGCTGACTTCCCTACTGCTAGGGACTGCACTCCCAAGCCAGAAAGGCAAGTGCTTCCTCCCTCAAGCTGTGCTTTTGTTGTTGTTGTTTGTTTGTTTGTCAAGTGCGTCTCACAGCCTCAAGAAGGGAGCAAAGTATGAATTGTGTCCCTACTGTGCATCCTGTCTGAGATGTGTTTTCCACAAAGGTAGGATTCCAGTCATGGAGTGTGGGTGGATGGGTGGGTACCAGAGACTGAGGTATATTCTCTGATTTTGCCTCTTCCTGTCAAAGGTTGCCACCCAACGCCCCTTCCCTTTGATCTGGGTAGCTCTGTGACTAACTCACAGCTTCTGCTTTGTCAGGTGGGCCACACGCCTAGAGCCCCAGGACAATGAATGTTCATGAGACAGTCGTGGCTCGAGGGAGGTCACACGAGAGTTGATGTCCTCTGACACGGGACAGGGAAAAACGTGCTTCCTGGATAATGGCTTAACTCCTGGCCCACAGCATTGGCGAGAATCACCCCAAAGCTATTTAAGGTAGGGTTTAGGTTTCCAGTGCAGAAATTGTGCCTGTGACACTAACATGTGCCAGGAAACGCAAAGGGCAAGATGAGTTAATATTTTAAAGGACTTCCTGGTTAAAGTTGTGTGTGTGTGTGTGTGTGTGTGTGTGTGTGTGTGTGTGCAGTGTTGATGGAGGCCAGAAGGGGGCACAGTATTGGATCCTCTGAAGCTACAAGCAGCTGGGGGCCACCCAGTGCCCGGGCTGGAGCTGATTCAGTCTTTTGCAAAAGCAGTAAGTGCTTTTGCTTTGTTTATTGTTTGTTTTTGTTTTTTGAGGCAGGGCCTCTCTACGTAGTCCTGGTTGTCCTAGAACTTGCTATGTAGACCAGGCTGGCCTTGAACTTACAGAGCTTCCTTCTCCCCTTGCCTCCCTTGTGCTGGGATCCCAGGCATGCCCACCACCACGCCAGCTTCTGCCTTTCCTGAGCATGCCTTCCATAGCACAGGGGCTCTCCCCGCAACATTTGACTTCCATGCTCTTGATCTGAAGTCCTCCTCCCAAAGTGGCTGCCCTCCGTCAGCAAAATCAGCAAGGTCATTTCTCCCTCTCTCCACCATCCTCCTCCTCCAGGCCCCTGCTAAGGTTTACAGCTGACCTACTCTGCGGTTTTTCTTTTAAAGTCTAATAAAATTGCCCTGAGCTTTGTAAAAGAAACATCACACACACCCTGAGGACATAGAGAAATCATAGCTCAGTAGCTCAACTGCTAAAAGCACTTGTTGCTCTGGCAGTGGCAGCAAGGCAAATCTCTGAGGGTTTGAGGCCAGCCTGGTCTACATAGTGAGTTCCAGGACAGTCAGGACTACATGGTGAAACCCTGCCTCAAACAAACAAACAAACAAACAAACAAACAAACAAACAAGAGAGAGAGAGAGAAAAGTTACATAGCTGTGGCTCCCCAGCCCACAGCTTATAGGTTGATAAGTCTTAGGGAAAACTTGAAAAGATACAGAAACATGAGGAAGTCCTTCCTGTTTAGGCAGAGGAAAAGGGCTAGGCATGTGTGGTTGACTTCCTGGGAAGACACGAGCAAACTGGCTCCGACAGGCACCAAATACAGAACAAAGGAAGGATCGCACCCAAGTCTGACTCTGAAGACAAATGCGTTTACTGGATTAACTTCCAGATCACAGATCCCGGGAGCGTGAGTGACCCTCCAACAGTGCAGCATCAAGAGGTACCACCTAGTCATGGATCATGAACTCGGGCGCTTCGCTGCGGGGTCCCCTCAGTACACACTCTACAGACTTCAAGACTTGGAGCCTGGCCTGGGGGTGGGAAGGGAAAAGGCCGGGGTGTCCCTCACCGCCCTCCTTCCAGGGAAAGCTCACCCTTCCCCTAAGGCACACCTACTGTGTTGTTTTGCTCAGTCAGTTGCCATGGCTACCAATCCCTGTACTCTGTACACCAAGATGGTGATTAAAGATTGTGTCCCCGAGGAAAAGGCCATAACCACAACATCACTGTTTCGGATGGTCCTTCAAGAGGCAAGTTAGGTTGTGGTCAGCGGGAGAAGGACTTCAGCCACGGAAGATCTGGGAGAGGAGACTTCCAGGAAAAGGAGAGATGGAAAGTACAAAGGTCCTGG